TTTTTGGATTATTTGAAGAGATTCCAATTGCAGGAGCAGGACCTAGAAATCAGTATTGTTCATAAACACCTCTGGTGGTTCTAGGTCAGGTGACCTAGGAAGCAGGTATTCTGGAAACACTGACAAAAGGTAGCTGATGTTGGAGTTTCTTTTAAAAAATATTTTCAGCTCAGCCAATGTTACTCAGTGGTTGAGTGTCGACCCATGAACCAAGAGGTCATTGGTTCAGTTCAGATCAGGGCACATGCCTAGGTTTCTGGCTCGATCCCCAGTCTGGGGCATGCAGGAGGCAGATGATCCATCTCTCTCTCTCTCATTGATGTTTCTTTCTATCTACCTCTCTCCCTTCCTCTCTCTCTAAGATCAATAAAAACATATTTTAAAAATTTTTTAAAAATTTTCAAATTAGGTTAAATGAGTAAATATGTTTTAACCATAAGTTTAAAAATAACTAAGTTGTCTAGATGTATTCAATCTGGTTTAAATTATGTTCCTTATTTTATTATCATTTGAGGTTTGACTATGTGCCTTCACTGGCTCCCTGACATTTTTGCATCAATAAGCCTTTTCAGATTATTGTAATAAAAATATGGGTGGTATAGAAAAATCTAAAATATCTTAAAACAATGTTCCAATATATGGTTGGTTTTCTGCAGACAATTCAAGTCTTAGTGAGTAGTGAGTACATGAATTGTAAAGGACTTAGGTAGAAAACTAAGGGTAGGAAAGAGTTAAAGGAGGAAAATTAGTTAATTGATCACTTGCTATATTCCAAGCACTGGTTCTTTCCACATATTAGTTTAAATAATCAGTTTTATACTTTAAATGTCTATTTTGAGAAATAAGAGAGAAATCTGCTGGGAGTAGTTACCTCCAAAAAAATTATTTTGAGACAGTCATTGGGATTTCACTTGCAAATACATGCATATATCAGTTTAGATTTTATATTAGACTAGTAGTGCTAGGAGGAATCTTATAAACAACAAAGTCTGGAGAGGTTCATTGGCTTACTCAAAATGACAGTCTGTTGAACCAATAGCCCAGACTAGCATTACTCGTATATTTGGATATCAGGCTATCATTTATGTTCTGTTAACTGCTCTACAAAACGCTTATGAATATGGATGCATTCAATATGAATTACTGAGAGGGAGAGCACTTCCATAGTAGTGCTCATTTGCAAAATGCTACAAAATCTCTAGATGAGAGACATCCGGGAAAAACAACAACACAAAAAAAACACATCTTAATTGACCGATGTTTGAAATACAAAGGACTGCAGTTAGGGAGAAAGGAAATTATTTTCTCTCCATGCAGTTTGGTAATAAATACAGGCCCTTCACAGTGCTTGCACTTTATGCTCACCTTCAATACTATCTTTCCTATTACAAATCGTTGGTATGTTAACATTTGAATAGAGTATTTGCATGTTTCAAATCCTTCATAATCTTTCTTGAAATGTTACTTCTTTTGGAGTCTTGGGAGGCAGTAAGCCTGGGAGGACATAAAATGCCTTCCTTTGTATTCAGGCAGTAAACTGACCAATGAAAAAATGTAACATACCATCTCTAACTGCTACCAATGAGCTGGAACTGTTATCACACTTAAAAAAATATTGTGCATGAATGCAATGTGTTTATTCATTCAGCAATGTTTGCTGAGCTCCTCCTCTGTGGTAGGCACTGTGCTTATCTTTTAGATCCTGAAGTTTGTTATATTTAGCAGCTTGATTATAGTGAATTTGTTAAGTTTCCCTAAATGAGATCAGTGTTCAAGGGAATTCAAAGATATATTTAAGTGCAAAGTCATAATGTAAGGATCTAAACCTTGTTTTAATAATATGAATTCATAGAAAGACATTTTCTAGGTGATTACTTTAAGACTCATGGAATCTAGTTTGAAAACAGGCAAGGAAAAAGATTCCAATAATAGTGTTTCCTATTTTTTTCATATTTAACCTCCAATTGGAGGCAAGACTTTAAAAGCTCAACAAATAATTCCTAAATAGTCTGTCACTTTATACCTCAAATACCCCAAGCTTTCTAAGTCTTCACAATAGAAACATTTCTGGATATTTTAGGACTATCAGGACTTATTCAGTAAATATAAAAAAATTAAGCTGATATTGGTTTCTCACTAAGATAATTTTTACCAATTTCTACTTCGTATTTTCAAATTTATGGCTGTCATAAAATATGATTGTCGTCTTTTTTTTCAGAGTGTAATACTGCTGGATATAATTCGGTATATATTCTTATTAATAAGGCCTATGAAAGTTAACATGTTCTTAGTAGTGAGGCCTACAAGAATTAATATTTAAACAATCAGAACATTAAAGGTAATAGATTTTTGATATTTTGAAATAAAACTTTTTAAATGGTCCATTCTCTTTTTATATCTACAATTTGTCCCCTGGCATAATTGTTTTTATAATCATCATCAGCAAGCCAATTTTGTCAAATCGATATCCTTAAAAAGAACTTTGCAGTCCACAGGATTTGGTAAAAGAGGAGCTGAGAACCACACACCATCTTGAGGGTGCATTTCACTTAAAATGTAGTGAAAGCCCATCCTTCTGATGAAGCTCAGGTCCTAGAATACTTAAACCAGAAAGAATGCTAACAAGTTCAATGTTTTATTTACTTGCACTTTTTCAAAAGTCAAAGTGCTTCCATGTAGAGTGTATCACTATTATCATTCTAATAATATCATCTAAGCATTCACATTTTTTAGGAATTGAATGAAAATACTATGAAAAAGAACATAGGATTAAGGAATACAGGCCCTGCCCTGCCGGGCATGGCTCAGCGGTTGAGCGTCGACCTAGGATCCAGGCGATCGGGGTTTGATTCCTGGTCAGGGCACATGCCCGGGTTGTGGGCTCGATCAATAACTGTCTCATCATTGATGTTTCTATCTCTGTCTCTCCCTCTCCTTTCCTCTCTCTGAAATCAATAAAGATATATTTAAAAAAAAAGAAAAAAAAAAGAAATACAGGCCCTTAAATTCTAATCTTGGTTATACCACTGGTTGTAGTGTGTGTGTGTGTGTTTGTGTGTGCACATATGTCTTGAATAAATATTGTCTCTGGATCTGGTTAACTCATAAGTAGAATAAAGGGATTGGTTTGTAAACATTGCTCTAATTCCTTCCAGCCCTAAAACTCACAGGTCAGTGGATCCAAAACCTAAGGGTCTAATTGACTCATTTATTTCGGCACTTCAAATTAAAAAAACTTATTCTGGGACTTTGTAGTGGGTTTTCAATATATAGATGTGCCAGTTAATCACTTACTATTATTGTTTTGGCTTGGGTCATAGTATCAGCATGTGAATATAATCACAGTCTAAGAATGAGTCTGAATTTGTAGTTGACAATAGAGGCAATGTGCTCAGGTTTCTCAGTTTATTAAAATCATGAGCATCCACCACAGCAAAGGCGGCTTGTCCTGACCTTTTGGCTTTTGAAGAAAGCAGGTACTTTCTAAACTTGTTTGTAACAAATCCTCTTTCTGCCCCTATACTTTCAAAGGTCAAAAAAGATACCAAAGTAAATGTAAATGAATGAACATTTACCAAAAGATACCAAAGTAAATGTAAATGAATGAACATTTACCAAAAGATACCAAAGTAAATGTAAATGAATGAACTGTTTTAACATGACAAAATAAATGCAGGTGGAGATCTTTCCTTATTTAGGAGGGCATTCACACAGACACTATTTCTGAGTCAGTGTGGTTGGAAGAGATAATATGGAGGGAATCTACACTGGGGCAAATGAGTGAACAAAGTTTGCAGCTCAGAAGCAGTTGGGGGAAATCTGCTTTGTTATTTGCATTAAATCAGCAGTGATTCACATAAACGCCATTGGAATATGATATGCATAAACACGGACTCAGAGGAAGGCTTTCTGTATTCTTCCACTTAATCGTAAGCTACTTCCAAGCTGTGATAGTTCCTTACTCCTCTTTGTCCCTGGTTGAGACATTGCCTGGCACAGCGTGCCTGTTCAATCAGGGTAAATAAATGGTTCTGAGGATCAGACAGTCCTCCCTTAACACAGGAGTCTTCCTCTGCTCAGATTCTTCTAGTGCTCCAGAGAGCTCACTCCCTCACATGGCAGTGCTATGGGAAAGAGTCGGTGCCTTCTCCTTACTGAATTGAAATTTGCCTCTCTCTAATTTGATGTAGAAGATTGTGGATTTGAGTTCTGATGTGACACGTAACAGGATTATTAGAATTAGTCACAAATAGACTCAAATAGATCTCATCAGAACATTCTAATTCTTTTGAGTTTTTGCCCTGAATGGAATAAAGTTATTACAGGCTCTTTTGGGAAATGCTTTTTTGAAGAATTCCTAGCATCCCATCTTTTCTTACCTGCTGTTCTATGCCTATATCAGCCCCTTAACCTTAGAGAGGAGAAATGCTGTACAGCAACTAAGTTTGTGGGTGAATTCTCCAAAACTTAGTATAATGATAAACTTATTTTGGTTCTGTAAAGCCCTGAGGGCCATGGTCATATGTGCTATAATATAAATAATTACTAAAGAGGAATATAAAACATCTCCAGTGAATACCTCTAGGCTAGAACTGTCACTTCATTGAAACAAACAAACATTTTCCCGTGATGTCCATTGCTATTTATTTATTCATTGAAAAATATGCATTGAGATCTTATAAATCCTCACTTTATTATGTTTTACATCTTATATTTAATTCCTTGATAATTTTATTTAGATTCTCTTAACTGATAGGACAAAGTTTTTCAAGTGTTATGTTTATTTATTTGTCTATATGGTAAAATAAAACTTTTCAATATTAGGGCGAGAGAAAAAATATTTTAAACTGATATGTTATTATGGACACAGAAAATAGTGCGGTGAAGGCCTAGGGCAGGGGGTGGATGCAGGGCAGAAGGGATCAATGGGGGGAAAAAGGGGACATCTGTAATACTTTCAATAATAAAGATAAATTAAAAAAATAAAGTCAATGGCACACAAAAACTATACATCTATGTGCCATTTATAAATGCAATTTAATCTATACATATCCTTTTGTCATTTGAGGAAATTATTTTTTATTATAATGATGTGTTATCAGGATCAAAAAGACAACTGTCTTCTATTTTCTTAAGTAGTATTAGGATTATTTCCTAGGTACTAAAAATCCCCCCAAATTAGATATTTAAGAATACTTGAGTAATTTAACTTAAAATCATGAGAACAGTGGCTGCATTTGCCAGTCAGCTTAATGAAAATATATGGGATGCCTAATAGTTTCCTGAACAGAACAGTTCTGCTTCCCTGTCTTTCTTATTCATTGCCTGAATATTTCTGCCTTCACAAACATGGTAAACAGATAAAGTCAGATCAAACAGAGACAGTTAACACACACTGTTCAACTTCGAAGTCAAAGAGGTTAGAATTCAATTACAAATACTTCTCATTTGTTACATTATGCAAACTTGGACCTAGAGATTATAATATTTAATGAAAATGTTTCATGTTTTAAGATGTGCATTTTCATTTCCCAAACAGATTAAACAGACGATCAATGTATAAACAGTAATCGTATCACAAACTTACATTAAGGAACAACTACAAAGATGTGAAAACACAATGTTTACAAATGATAGCAAAGAATAAATTATTTTTCAGTGCACATAATTAGGTATATACAGGATAATTTAAAACCAAATGCAGTGATTGCTAATGCGAGCTCTTAAAAATCTTCATCAAAATATATGTTACCAGAGAGAGTGATCAAAATAAATTGTGACAGTAAAGCAGAATGTTGTCTCTCTTTCCATCCTCAAAACCTGAATGATAATTTCATCAAAATAATTTGCCAGGTGGGCAAATGCTGGAAAGCTCTAATTCCAAAACCATTTCTCTAAATTACCAACAGACTTATATTCTTGATGCCTTTTCACATGATCACAAGCCGAGCACGCATGTGACTCCCAAAACCGTGGAAGATTTACTGTGAAATCTTTCCTCCAGTTAAAGTAACTAAGGTATAGCTTATTGTTTTTGTCGACTTCCTTCAGATACTTTGCTAGCTCACTTGGAGAGTTATAATCTTCCACATGAATGAATGAATCTGCTGGAATATAATTTTCATAGTTTTCCCTAGATGGCCCCAGAACAACAGGTACAGAGCCAGCCAGAAAAGCATTGTAGAGCTTTTCTGTGATGTAATCTTTGTGGATTGAGTTTTCAAAGGAAAGGTAAAATTTGCAAGTAGATATGGTAGGAATCAAATTTTTATCATTCACATACTCTCCAAATGCTTGCCCATAGGTATGGATTTCAATGTTTTTGCTTAGCTCATTGTAATACTTGACCCTGGCGTGCTCAGGGTTCCAGTTACTTACAACCCAGCACACTAACTTCTCTTTGCTTGGCACTTCAAACACGAAGGGGTTTGTGCTCACCGTCAAGAAGCCATAAGGCACTTGGATATCTGAGTCGCGGCGGTAAGTCAGAGTGAGATTGAATAGGTGCTCAATGCCACTCTTCTGGGGCGTGTGAGTTGGTGATTCCAAATTCATCCAAATCCATTTCTGGAAGGGTGGCCTAGCCTGCTGAGGTAAATTGGTCAGGTCCCAACTGATGTCTCGGTGATGGATCAGGACTGCGTGAGATTTGTTGTAAAGGGAGCGGTCTGTCGTGAGATGGCATCCTTGGATGTTGAACATTGCTTGGCAGGAGGTAAGGTCAAAGGTCTGCCCAAATGGCCATACCCAAATCAGAATAGTAGTTTCATTGAAACAGTCCGTTTTGGTGGTGAAGAAATTTTTCATTTTCAGCACTGAGCTGGTTGACTCCATTGGACTGAAGATCCAGCTGTTGGTGGGCTTGATGTAAATGAGAAGACATGCCATAAAGCAGCCCAGAATAACGCAGACAATTAGAAATGGGCGGAGAATTCCTTTGGATGCTGATGTCATAATTTTTTCTATGAAAGAGAAAGAGAAAGGGGGATAGGTAAGGGTAGGGATGAAGAATTAATCATGACTCCCTGGAGTCATCTTCTAGAAGGGTCTGTCATGACTCCCCGGGTCCCTCCTCTCTCAGGAAGTATTGCCATCCTTCAGGTGCATCTCCTAGGAGGGCCCGTCACAGTTCCTCAGATATCTCTTCCCCTAACAGCTCCCCTGAGACATCTCAACCCAGAAGGACTCATAACTCCTTGGACACATCACAGCTCAGGAGGGCCCGCCATGACTCCCCTGATTCAGCTCCTAATGGTCCTCACTCACTGCCCAAAGCAGTAAAGCCCCAGAAAGAGCCTCTAGCAAAACTCCACACCAGAAGGGGCCAGGGCCCTCTCATCCCTCAGTCCCGAAGAAAAGCAAGTATGAGTATGACTCGGACTTTTCTCCTCCATGGATAAAGCAAGCAAAATTCCATTTCTGAAATGAAGAGCATGACTCTAAAAGCTCTGCATCCAGCCATAGGAAGTTTCATGCAAGCACTTCACCTAGAAGGCATCAGAGTCACATGCTGGACTCTTCTTCCTACCCAGGTGACCGTCAGAAAGCCTCTGATGCAGATCATTCTCCTCCATGGAAGAAACAAAGTTCAGGGCACCAGGATTCTGATTGAGATCTGTCACCTCCACGGAACAGACCTAGACACCAGGGCTCTGACTGACCTGTGTCCACCAAGGAGGAGACATAGAGGGCCAAATCCTCTGACTCCGACCTGTGCCCACCCTGAAGGACTCGGCCTCTGGGGAAGAGGGCTGCACACGTGTGTTGTGGGGCTAAAACTGGGCTGGTGTTAGCTGGCACACAGCACAGGAACTCAGGAAACAGGGCCAAGAAGCCCTGGCATTTGAAGCTGAATTCCAACATGCTGAAACTGTATTTCGAGAAAAGTCTGGTCGTAAGACGAATTTGAACCTGGAACATTTAGAGCACGGGAGAAAAGCAGAGGATTGAAATGAGCGAAATGAGCTGCATGCCCAGTGGGGAAAACAGCTTGTCCAGAGCCGGCAGTAGCAGCAGAATGTGGAGGAAGCAATAAAGGAAATGCAAAGGCCGCTGGCCTGCTAGGTTGATGATGGAGATCTAGATCGGATGCTGAGAGAACAAGGAAGAGAGGGGGACCCCTTGGCCAACTTTATCGAGAAGAATAAGGCCAAGGGGAGCAAGAGAGAGACCCCGCTACAGTGGCCCAGTGCCTCCTCCCAACAGATGCAGCATCTGGCCTGGATGGCGCTGGGATGGAGTGGATGGATCCAATGGATTTGAACAGAAGCACTTTGCCAGGCTTGCCAGCAAGAAGGCGGTGGAGGAACTTGCCTACAGGTGGAGTGTTGAAGATACATAACTTTTCTGAGGCTCTCGGGATGGCTGTGGGTTGTGGCAATGGACATAGGGCAGCTAGATGTCCAGCTGTGACAGCTGTGTATGCTAATAGTCAGGGTCCACACACACCAGCAACTCTTTGAATGCTAGTTTTGACCACTTGAGATGAAGAATATTGGAGACATGATGTCTGGACTGAGGCCCTGTAACTCCTCAGGTGTGCCAACATTGGCAGTTGTTGCCGGCTTTCAGAAGAAACATTGATTTCTCAATGCCCCAAGGTTTGTTCTTGGTTAGGTTTTTTAATAAACATACATTTATTCAAAAAAAACACAAATATGTCAGAAACATTAATTAACCCTTGAGCAAGAGAGAAAATCAGAAAGGAATATGAAATTTCAATTATTTAGAACTAAATGACATTGATGGTACTACTTGTCCAATTGGATAATATGTGGATGAAGTACTACTTATAAGGAAATTTATAGCTTTGCACAGTTTTCAGGAAATTGACTAACAAATTGGTTGTTCAACAAGCTGGACAAAGAGCAATGGTGCAAAGAAATAAGAAACAAAGAATTCAGGTATGGATAGAGATCACTGAACCTGAGAGCAGAAATCTGAGAGAATTACTAACACATATGACTGTGTGTGCTGATGAAAGTTAACTAAACTTATTGTGGTAATCATTTCACAATACACACATATAAAGTTATTTGCTGTACGCCTTAAACTAATACAATGTTATATGTCGCCTATAATTCAATAAAACTGGAAAAAATACTAAGGTAAACTTTAGGCAAGGATAATCAAAAAGAGAAAATCAAATTAAATATCAAAAATAAATAAATATTGTTTTATCATGGAAAAAATAAATGACTATTTGAAGTAATTTTATGGTAACAAATTTGAAAAGCTAATGAAATAAATGGTTGTATTTCTGCACAAATAAAAAAATGCAAATTTTAATCAGAAACTATGATTAAACAAATAACAGTTATGGAATTCACAAATGATAACTAAAAACAAATGCTAGACCTAGATAGTGTTTTAGGAGTGATATCAATTCATTGAATAGGAATACTACTATCACTTAAAAAAATATTTTAGAAAACCAGAAAATAAGCAAAGAAGCTTAACACATTATATGAAGCCAATTATTATCTTGTTAACAAAAGAGGATACGAATATCTAAAAAAATTCTATTTCACTTATGAATACAGGTGCAAAAATACAAAATTTTAGCAACAAAGAGTATTGAAAATATATCACGATGCAAGTCAAGAACAGGTTTATGGAAGTTTAGTTACATTGACCCTACTTTATAAATTTAACCAGTCTGAGAATATCTCAGTTTCTTCCAGACCCTGGGATCTACAGACTGAGAAAATTTATTGGAAAGATCTCCTTTCTATTAATTTATTTGTTTATTTTTATTAAATGTATTGGGGTGACATGGGTTAATATGATCATATAGGCTTCAGGTGTGGGTTTCTATGTTTCAAGATCTGTATATTGCACTGTGTGCCCACCACCCAAAGTTGGATTTGACTGTAGGATCTCCTTTTTAATGGAGTAATATTATCCTTTAGTATACATAATTTGACTAAGCATTGCAGTGTTGGGGTTTTTTCCTTATGAGACCAATGTTTAATGATTTTTAGAAGTGCTATATCACTGAAAATTTCTTTACATCCTTTTTGAATTGAAATGCAATGGCAAAAACTATCTAAATAGATGATGTCGATTTAATATAATCAGGTTACAACTTTAATAGCCACTTTTTAACAAATGCCCACTGTCAGCTAGGCCTTGTGCCAAGCACTTTGCATACATCATCTCCTTTCATTCTCATAGAACCTTTATCAAGGAAATCTTTTATCACCTCTTCTTCACAGATGAGGAAATTAAGGGCCAGAGAGATAAGTCACTAGCTCAACCTTTGAGTTATGCTCTCTCTTACCTCCTACAACCTTCTTTTAAAAAATAATGCAAACACCAATAATCCAATGCTTGAGATACATTTGGCACCTCAAGCTTTATTGTCTTGATATTCCCAGCCTGTCATTTTCTCTATAATAAAGGGCTATTTACCCATGAGTTAAATTTAGAACAATTTTTCTTAACAAGAAAGATAACCTGACACTTATTATGCGAAACATTGATCTGAGCACTTACATTAATATACATACACATTAACATCTATACATATATATGTGAATATATATATTACCTTATTATATTCCTGTCTATTGATGAAGAATCTGGGACCCTAAGTGGTTTAGAAACTTGCTCAAGTTCACACAGTTAGTAAATGGCAGAGCACATTCAAACCCAGGCTGTCTGGCTCCAGAATGTGGACGTTTGATAACTACGCTTTATGTTCACTGATTTCTCAGGTTGCAGCCAGAGAACACAATCATCCTGGAGATGCCAGGCTGTAAGCTCCATGAGAGGCTTTGTGTTTTCAGCTTCACCAGCTGAAATAGCAGGGGCTTAGTAAATGATGTGTATGTTACCAGGATGAATGTTGAGTCCTCAACTATGTGCAAGGTAAAATGCTTGGTAACTAGATAAACCAAAATGATCCAAGTATGAATGAATGAATATATACTTAGTTGCTTTCTTGGTACATTTAACATATCTCTCTCTACAGAATAACTACCATTAAAATTGACTATAGAGGTATTCCTATCACTAGATGAGCAAAATTTCCCAGATTTGCTTCTCTGTTATGTCTCAAAGTTGGCATCTTTCTAGTACATTTTAGTCCCATGACTTTTTAAATGAGAAAGAATTGGTCACCAGGCAGAAACAATGTTCTGCCCACTGTGTGCCTTTCAGATCTCTTGCTTCCTGGACATTTTGTATTTACCAGAGGTTCTTCTTGTTAACTCTCTGTACACCCTCTCCCCTCCCCTTTTCACTGCTGCCAGGGTCAATCACTAAACAGTATGGGCAGTTACTCAGTAACCCCTGCTTTGTACAGAAACTGTCAGAAAAGTTAGCCTCTTAGAGCCAATTTGGCACCCCCTTGACAGTAACCTTTTCACCTATTCCTCATAATTCAGTTGGATACCCAACGTGTCTGAACTGTTCATCAAAAGAACTTATTTTTAACACACCTGCAGCCATGTCACTATCATTCTTACCAGAGACAGCAATAAATGCATAGCATAAAGCATACTGTAACAATAAATCATATAATTAAACTTTTAAAATTATTTTTAATAGTTCCACATATAGTACTAGAAAATGTAATTTAAAGACTTTAGCATTAAAAATAACAAAATCTTTAGTAAAATTTCTACTTGATAAGACTTGGTATGCATATGATTCTCTTTTCCATTAAGAGACGACCTTCAGTCATACTTTAAGATTGCTCTACTGAGTGTTCAAGAATGGAAGAGAGCTTGTAATAGAAAAGGTTCGACTTGTGGTTCTCAAGACATAAATATACTTCAAAGTATTAGAGAATTGTGAAACTGAGGAGGACAGGCAGCTTCTTTGAGAAATGGTAATTCTACTTTAAGTTTGTGTGTGTGTGTTTTGAGTCCTTATTTTAAGTTAAAAACAGATAGGGTATACTATAGAACAGAACCCATTACTTGCCTTAAACTGTAAGCCAGAACAGGATAGTGGG